TCTGGGTATCGGTGGAGCTGCCTTTTATCTCTGATTATTTGGTCTTGGCAGTCGCATCGGAGATTGGGGAAAAAGAGACGATGAATTTGGCGGTACATTATTCTTTGATTCCTTGTCTGCCCAGTATCTGCGCTAGTTGTAAATATCAATCTCTACATGAATTGTAAATGCCTATTCTCATAGGGTTAGAGGATCACAGTTTCTTGAATAGAGCATTACTCTTGTTAGGTAGTGGGAAATGCTTCTAAAGTAAGCTTGTGAGTCAGTTTGCTGACATCACAAAATTGGCACAATTTTCGTTACTTCCCTAATCTTGGGCCATCCTTGACAATTGTTTTTCTCCCCCATTTTGCATTTTCCATTTTTAGGTTCAAATTATTTGAATTTTAATTATAATTATGAGTTTGGAATGAGAATTACCGATTGCCAACATGAAAGATTTAAGGCTGGTTCTCACAAAATCAGAGCTTTCTCCATGTGTAGGCCTTTGCATTTGCAAATGCAGTAGGCAAAAGTCTAAATGATTATTATGTAGAGCTGATTGATAGTAAGGTATAATTGAAAAGTAAAAGAAGTTCAAAAAGGCATTCGGTGTCTTTGGAATCTGATTATCTGTTCTTTGTCTATTCTCTGATTATCTATTTGCCAAATCTCCAAGCAAAAGTGGAAGCATAGGTTTCTTTTTTGGGGTAATTTTGTCTTGATTGTTTCTTTTCGAATTGTGTCATTATTGTTTGATTGACCTTTTTGTTCCGACGTTGGTTCTGTAGTACTCATAGAATTTTATCTATAATGGGGCAATGCATATTAAGGGTGTTCCTTCTCTCTTAAGCCCTGTTTGGATAATAAATTATTAATTTATGTAGAATTTATGAAAGAATAACTTAAAAGGAGGAAAAATGGACGGTTATTGTTATCATGAAGATACGCAAGCGAGAATGTACTCAATGCAGAAAGTTACACAGCTCAATAATCGTTGAATTAGAGTTTGCTTGTACATGAATTGTGATAATTTCCTTTGTGCAGGAATTTTTTATTATTCTGAAAGTCTAATATATATCTATATGTAAGAATTTTTGTCAATGCTTGTGCCAATTGGTTTAAAAAATTAAATACGTGATTTTCTTACATATGACAAATTCCTCTTAACGATTTTAGAGGACAAAGATCTCATCCACAATATGCTTTTGCCCCTTTCTACTTATTGTCAGGGCCATTAATCTTAACTTATGTACTCACTGATGTCGAAAGAGGGATCAGCTTCAAGCCCTTCTTGATTACTAAAAAAAGTGTATGAGTAACCATTTTCAACCTTAGCTACTGTATTCTATATAGGCTTCTTTTTCCATGTTGTCCGGCCTCTAACGATTTCTGCGTGTTCGTTTTCTTTCTCTCCCTTGATTTGCAAGAGATGTGTATACCTTAAAGGCCGCTTGTCTAGAGAAGCCAGAAGTCCGTTGCCTTGTATTATTTCAGATGCCAATGTAGTTAACCCGTTGAGAAGTTTCATGTCATTGTTTTGTTGCATGGTGTTTGCCACTAGAATTCCTTCTTCCTCTGGTTGACAGAGAGATTGAACTATGTCTGAACTCCGGCATTCTCTTCTGTATTCTAATACAATACTTGAGAGCTCGTGAGACTCCAAAAATTGGTCAGGTATGGTCTGCAGAATTTGGAAAAGAAGAAGAACAACAATAAGAACTAGAAATTGAAATTAGTTTCCGAAAGTTAATACTCAAAGGTTCTGTGTGAATTGTTTGACATATTAGATTCTTTTCCCATCAATCTAAGTTTAAAGCAAATTCATTTCAACTTAGTTGTTTAATGTGATTTTAGAGATAAAAGTTTAACATTTGAATGTTGGGTAACTGTCACATTTTTGTTAATTAATTTTAACGTAAGCCATGACATGTGTGCTTAATTCGCATATTCAATTGAATAGACTCACAGAGTTTCAAAGAAAACGTACCTCAAGCATCCATCTTACATATTTGACATTGTTTACATGGTGGTTCATATCCAAATCGCTCCTCTTGGGCTATAAAGTATAAATGCGTTAAGAGTCAGAAGATGTTTTCTTGAGCTTATTTGCACTGGTTGAAGTTTGTTTTTTCATGTTTAATTACCCTCAAGTTAGAGCTGACATATTTTGCTTGATCATCCAATTTCAGAATTTTCTCTGGACTATCTTCTTTGATTGCTTGCTTCTTAATAAACCATGGCGAAACCTCAGCCCTAACCTCTTCGGGCATCTTTGAGAGACGCCTGGTTTGTTGGTTCATCATCACCCAAGTGCTGTGTTCGTGTTCAAACAACTCAATAATTAGTAAAATCATTGAAACAAAGTCGAGTTTAAATACCATGTTTGAAATTGTTAAGAAGTTTACGAGCACCTACCTGGTTGCTCGGGTGAAAATGTGACCTGTGGCTTGACTTCTAACAAGCCAATCTCTGCGCATTCCATTTTTTCCTGACTCGCCTACCCATGTGTCAATTTCCACTCTCTCTCCCCTGCAAATCATGGAAGACAGTTTTGGAAATCATAACATCAACATTGTTTTGCCAGAATTGGATTTGTCATTCCATCTATCATAGTCTCTTGGTCTATATGGTTTAGCTTATGTATAAGCAATATATTTGACCATTGCATATCAACTTCAAGTTTTTATATAGTTAGTCACAATTAGTTATTTAGCATAATTATATCCAAATCAGATATTCAAGATTTGAGTCCTGATTGTCCCAAAAAGAAAAAGAAATTTCACTTTTGTATAAATGGTGGTAAAAGAACTTACCATATCGGGTAACTATCGATTTCAACATTCATTCTTGTGACAACCCAGATGAGATTGTTCCTCTTCATTCCGTGGGTAGCTCCAAATCCATTGCTTAGAAGTCCAGACATCCAAACATGGTTTAACGCTGTTTCCTACATATTTGTAAAATCTTTTCATGTTAATTCATTGTCAACAACGATTATACTTTACTAATCCTATAGGAAACTCTGGGTTTGAGTCTGATTGGATTCTGTTATTATTGATGAGTATATATCATCTGAAAAAAATTACCTGAAAAAGATTGAGGATGCTCTCAAGAGTTACAGTTTTATCAGGACCAACTTCATATGACCGAATGACAAGTGTCTGTCTATAGGCAACTCCTCCTTCAACAATCAACCCTTGTCGATATGGATCAACAAGTTGCTTTTTTGTTGGAATATTTTGCCGGGTCTGCTCCTTTGAGATATACCCATTTCCAGTTACAGAAGAAACCGAGTCAAACCCAGTTGATTGACTCAGTGTATTCACCTTACTAGACCTGGTAAAACTCCCATTCAAGTTCAAGCTTTTAAACCCTTTTGTCTTCATATCCTGCTGGTTCTCACTCCCATCATAACAAGACTTGAGATTTACAGGAAAAGAGACTGTAAAACTGAGAGAAGCCATTGTTGTTTCTTCTTCCCCCTCTTTCTTTCTCTGGAGCTGGAAGAGGGGACTGGGGATTGAATGATTTTATACCAGTTATATTGACGGACATGTCCAAGGGGAAGTGATTGGTAGAGGACAAGATTCTGAAACTGGTATTGAACATATCAAAGAGGATTTTGTAGTTATTGGTAAAGATGTATTGAATTATTTTATCATAGGAGCTATCGTCGAGAGAAAACTGACACACAGTTTGGATTTTGCTTACATGACATCAAGGAGTTTTACGTGCCAAAAGACTTGGGGCTTGTCTGGTTTTCAACTCTGTATTTTTCTGATTTAGAAACATAACAATTTTGTACTAACAAAATACTCTTTCCTACTACATATTAGGACAGTAAGTAGAACCTTTGACCGCCATTGATGAACAGATGAAGCTTTTTTCCCCCCCTTGGTGTAAAGTGTTCTGTACAATACAAAACATTGAAAATCTATTATAAAATCAAATTAGGGTGCTTTTTTTAGCTCTCACTTCTGCGTTTTAGAAGTACTTCTGCAACTAAATATATAAAATTCAAATTTTAATTAAAATATTTTTAGTGAACAATTATTTTAATAGTACTTTTAAACTCACTGTATAAGAACAAAAACATTGGGAAGTGGCACACATTGAGTTACATTGGTTCTCTTCCATTGCTACAATACTAAATTTTACAAATTAAACTTTTACTTACTAAAATTCAGCTTATTTTATTTTGCTTAACTTTCCCATTTACTTATATAAAATCTAAGCAAGACTACCATCATATACTGTTAAACAAATTGGGACCTCAAACTCAGAACCAGTACACATTGATTTCATGTTTAAAAGCTTAAACTGTACAAGTCATTCTGAGTAAGTGGTGAAGTTGACAGCTTGAAATTTTACATATTTAAGCATATATAGATATAGTTTTTGAGCGGTATCGTGGACTGAACAAATTTATAATGAGGACAGCATTATGAATAATTAGAAGCAGGGGATGATTGGATTCCATGGAATTTGATTGGAATCCTCTTGAAACATAGTCAGACAAAAACAACAACAGCACTTGATTTTAACTCAATCAATCGCCATCCCCTCATAGGCCGTTCGCAGCTTTCTATGTTTCAGAATCTAAACCTTGTTATCTACAACAATTTATATTGGATCTTTCTACTTAATATATATATATAGTATATAGTCAGTAAATATTTACCATACCCACTTAAAATCAAACTTGGAATATGAAGTCAAAATTTTAACTTATTATGACTAGTGCATCTAAA